TTCGTCTGTTTTTTCGAGTTTAAAAAATATGAGCTGGCTGGAGCCTTCATCCCTTGTCTATTTCTTACACTAGATACCAGCCGATACCACCCCACCCCCCCGCACGCACGCTCATAGGGAGTGAGTACAGTTGATCATAGTTTCTAGGCTCCCTGTGCTATAATAACAGCTATAGTATTTTAAAACTTCCGCATAAGAAATTTCTTGGCAGTAGCCAAACATCACTGAGGAGTTGTGATGCACACCAGACTTTGAGTTGTTTCACGTGATTTTTACAGTACATACTATGTGGGACAATGCTATATAACCGTTGGACATCTGTGGTACAAAATGTCAGAGATATCATAAATCGGACTGGAACAGGAAGTCAGAAGACAAATAATGAGTGAAACAGGAAAAACTGTAGCTATGTAATTAATAGAGCTAGTATCGTACGGGTTGATCAGCAAGGTACTTTCGTCCAAACTATCTCTAAATCAAGATACTTTGCCAGATCTTGGCAATTATTGAGACACTTACCAGATATTACTCATTATTGAGACACTTTTTGACAGCCCAAGAATGCTCATTTAGGAACAGTAAACTCCACAAGTACCGGATACGTTCTTAGGGGGTAAAATGGATAAAAGTCTCTAGATTGGGAGATATTCTCTCGATATTGTGACCTAAGAGGTTGTTTTGTGAAATTTGTCAATAGCAAAGCACTGCAATGAATACTAATCGGGAATGTCTCCCGATTTTGACATTTCGGGCTAATACCATTCAGTACGACCGAAATTTCCATTTCCTAACTATATGACGGTGGGTCTTCTTGAGTGTAATCGAGTCCTGACCATCTCCACAACGCCATAACATTGAAATGCAGGGTCTAATATTTCTGAGGATGCGAATACTTACCGCTCATGTTTACTAAGAATTCACAAACTGATATACTCGTCAAACGGTTCCTGTCTACATGAGAGGCACACCTGACCTCTATAGTCCTTGGGGCGTCACAACACACACTTTACCAGTTGGATGTTTCTTGAAAGTCAATAATGTTAACAATTTTGAAATGTAAGATACTTATTAATCATATGGTTTGACCGTAATTTACCTAGAATTTAAATCAACGGAATCATTTGTAAGTATAGTAGATATAACAAATCGAAACAAAATGTTCAAAACTAGGCACCCCCTGTTTTGGTATTGCATTCTGGGTAGGTTAAAGGTCATCGTCTCTGGCGCTAAGATCGACTTTACAGGAAAAGAAATGTTTACCCCACGTGCATCTCGGTCTATTTATTCCCCCTTTGCAGCAACAAGAAGTTCAAAATCATCATCGTCTGGTCGCAGAAGTGTTGGCATTTTCTCAACTGGAAAAAGAACTCCATTTGCTTCAAGGTTCGTGTTTTGTCTGTCCGTCTAGTTTCACGTTTGACACTCCGTATTAACTGCTTCCGGCCACAAATTTGGTGATTTGGTCACAAATCACTTTTATTTATTTATTTATTTATTTTATTTATTTATTTTATTTATTTTATTTATTTTATTTATTGTATTTTTCATGGTTATCATGAAATAGATTACTTGATTTTTTTATTACTTATTTTGGCCTTAATATGTTTATCATCTAATATAAAATTTATACTTCTGTAGTTGATTGTGAACACTGATTGTGAACGAAAAAGCAACCCAGCCAGCGACATTGCAATAGAGCCCACTGTTTTGTGAACAAAATAGCCATGTTGATAGTTGAAATGTAACAGTTTGTAATTGTTGTTTTGGTCGTTTCTTTGTTAATAGTAAAAAGGTTTTAGCCAAAGTGAAGATCATATGTCGTGTTTGTCATACGTATTTTGAGTTCATACCATCAGAAAATGGGTTTTTCGCACAGTCACTTGGGGGCTGAAAATCACTAAATACTAATTTTAAAAAAAAAATCATCCGCTATACGTATATAAATAAACAAGTTGTGAAGCACAGCACCTAGTAAATCGACACCCTGTCGGTTTCAAATTTTGATTTCTTACCTTAAAATCCGAAACAAAATTTTTAGAGGGAATCAGGTGTTACGTTAATAACCACTGTTCATAATCGCTAACTTGGTTTTATTCAAAACTGCACAAATCCCGCGTTTTCTAATGATATCCGATGATTTCATGAACAAAAATGGCCAGCAGCCAGATTCAAGGGGGATTTGCACAGAGTTCTGGGTAAATCAAGTGCGCATTCTCATTTTTAGCCAATCAGGCCGTAACAACGAGTATTTCCTTGATTTACCCAGAACTCAAAAAATAGCCAATGCATTATTCAAATAATGTGGTCATTTTATCTGGCTACCAACATCACTTTCCACATCACTGGATTGGTACTAGGACATTGTCTGTTGCAATACATGTCAGTGTCTGTGTATAGACTTCGCATAAAATGACAAAAAAATAAAAAATAAATCACATTGGCTGTAAACTAGTTTGAATATAACAGTTTGTGATGGTAAGCTAATATCTTAGCGTACCAGTGAGCTATATTGTAATATTGCTGGATGTGTTGCTTTTTTATTCATAGTGATTATCTAGTACACAATAAATACCGTTTTTGGTTTAGATTCTCTTCTATTGGAGATATGCTCTATTAAATATTATATACATCATAAATCCAGTCGTCTTTACTGATTCAATTTGTTGTAGGAGTCCTGCCATCAACAAGTCATTGCTACACACATCACAGATAGTAGAGGAATCCTCACAATACGTGGTTGAGATTTATGGAGCATCATTGCCTGTACTCATCACAGAAGCGTTAACTTTGGCAGATCGTAAGTACTATAAAGTGGTTTACTGTCACCGCCATATTGTTCCAAACAATAAAACGGCAACATTTCCATCACCTTAGAATTCTAAAAGAAAGGAAACAACACTTATTGCATGTAGAGCAATTTGTTATGTACCGGTAATAAGACAATAGTTTTCAGTACATTACAATGACTGTATAACTGAAAAATATTTTTGCAACCTTATTTTCACTTAGTTCGCAGAAAAACAATTCATGAGTACTTTGTTTGCCTGTATTTTTGATCAGTACACTACTACGTGTACATCTGATTAGTGTCGACCATTGTTATGAAAATGACAACGTATCAAAGATTTCAGTTAATTGAACACACCAATTTTAATGTTCATTCTTATATTACCACTAATCATTGTGTCAATGACAGTTGCAAACTGAATGGAACACAGTCCCCCCTATCCATGCCCTACAAGAGATGGCTCAGACAATCCCTCTATCCATGCCCTACAGGAGATGGCTCAGACGACCCCTCTATCCATGCCCTACAGGAGATGGCTCAGACAGTCCCTCTATCCATGCCCTACAGGAGATGGCTCAGACGACCCCTCTATCCATGCCCTACAGGAGATGGCTCAGACAGTCCCTCTATCCATGCCCTACAGGAGATGGCTCAGACAGTCCCTCTATCCATGCCCTACAGGAGATGGCTCAGACAGTCCCTCTATCCATGCCCTACAGGAGATGGCTCAGACAGTCCCCCCTATCCATGCCCTACAAGAGATGGCTCAGACAGTCCCTCTATCCATGCCCTACAAGAGATGGCTCAGACAGTCCCTCTATCCATGCCCTACAAGAGATGGCTCAGACAGTCCCTCTATCCATGCCCTACAAGAGATGGCTCAGACAGTCCCTCTATCCATGCCCTACAGGAGATGGCTCAGACAGTCCCTCTATCCATGCCCTACAGGAGATGGCTCAGACAGTCCCTCTATCCATGCCCTACAGGAGATGGCTCAGACAGTCCCTCTATCCATGTCCTACAGGAGATGGCTCAGACAGTCCCTCTATCCATGCCCTACAAGAGATGGCTCAGACAGTCCCTCTATCCATGCCCTACAGGAGATGGCTCAGACAGTCCCTCTATCCATGCCCTACAAGAGATGGCTCAGACAGTCCCTCTATCCATGCCCTACAGGAGATGGCTCAGAAGTATATCCAAACATTGCTCAAATGAAATTAAAATACATTATCATTGTTTACAAAAACATGCAAATGACTTGAAATGGTTGTTTTGCAAAATTTAAACTGCAAAAATGACTTCTACAGTATAACTTAGCACAGTGTACTCAGATTTCAAGAGTGCAAGACATGTGTTGAATGAATACATACATATACATTTACTCTGACATTGATAGGCACCACAGAGACTAGTGTAAAGATAGATCCAAATGGATGGGCGTGGTTGGTATGTGGAAGAAGGTTATTTGCCTGGAGATACAAGCAAACCCATGTTGTTAGGGTGAGTTTATACCTAGCATCTTGCAGTGCCTGTTGTCTATATTAAACTGTATTTAGCTTGTTTCAACAATCTGGGAGCTGCATACAACATTATTATGATGATTATTCATCTCTCTCTATTCATTCTTTCATGTAATCTCAGTTTGACATGTCTGAAATTAGTTTAGAGTTACAAATTACCCATATTGAAAATAGTTTTGTAAATTTGTTACAACAATGTTTTCTTGATATATTTCTGTGTAATATGTACGATGTATACTCACCTATGTACATGATTGCAATATAGAGAACTTATTGTAGTTTTATTGTGTGCAAGATACATGGACCAACATAAGGGAAGAGTAGGAAATCAAACTTGCGGTTAACCGCGGTCATTACCGTGGTGGTGGTGGGTGCTCGCTGGTCGACCGCATTTTATGCAAATTTATGCATAGATTCCATGACCCCGGTTTACCGCGGTCGTGTGCGGTAGGCTCGTGTGGCAATTTACACCCTATTGTTAAGACTATGAATGGACACAATAGACTGGGAAACTAAAGGTTACTTGCCGCCGCTGTATGGTCTCAGGATTTATTTTAAAAGATTAATGTTTCGCGTATACCAATATAATCGTACTGGCTGTGAATATTTCACCATTGCCGACGTAATTATGCAAACTTATTTTCCATTGTTTACGTACTGGCTGTGAATATTTAAACTTTGTCGACTTGATAATGCGTTGCCTTTGTAATAATTACGCAAACTTATTTTCCGTTGTTTACATACGGGTTGTGAATATTTCAACATTGTCGACTTGAAATTGCGTTGCTTTCGTATAATTTGTATAATTTATAACTACACGACTTAGTCGAAACCGCGACTTACTGCCTCAGAGACGGGGCCACTGAATAACTGTTGTTGATAATGATATTGTAAACAAACACGCACACACAAAACATTAAAGCCAGAAAAGTCAAGTCAAGAAACAACATTTCAAATAATAATAATTATGGTTTGACATCTATATCATTTTGAAATAAACTAAATTTCATGTAAATAAAATCCATGCGTTACAATTTACTGTAATTTCAAACTCAGGGCAGCGTACTTTGAACGCAGAGTATTCGATCGCTTACATTTCGAGTGAAAAAAAACAAACAACGTCAGGTGCTTTTGAACTACGTGCGGTTGGCACAGTAACGGGCAATAACCTCAGCGGTTCACGAATGAAATTCTAATCGAGCCAGCTGGCGTTATCGTTCGGTATCATAAAGTCAATAATTATTCATTCAAAATGCCTTTCACACTCACGAGTACCATGGAACATGAACATGTAACAGAAAAATATCGTCTTTTGTTTAAAGAAGATTCTGTCAACCAAGAATACATGCACAAGGCAAGATTTATGAAACGAAACAGAAAATAATCATGTCATTGTCAGTGCAATGCAGACAGCCTGACCTGTTTTGATTAGTTCGCCCGTTTCTCGTTTGCTGGCCATTTTTTCTGGAGTGTGACACAAATGGTGAACATGATACTGCCAAATCAATCAAGAACCAGGATACGGCTTGGATACGCTGAAACTTTGTAAATCGTCCTCTTTTCAATTGTAGACTTTATTCCAGTGTGCATCACTTTGGAAATTGACGCTAAATACATGTACTAAATACTAAACAAGCGCACATATCGTATTCATTTACAGCATCGGATTTTAAAACAATGACTCGGGGGGAATAACAAGAAACTGTTAAGTACGTATTTCACACATTACCGAGGACCGCGGTTGTGACTGGTACAGCGGTAGAGGCCCCTAATTATAAGCAGTCCGCGGCTCTTCTCGGCGTTCTGCGGTACACCGAGGTAATGACCGCGGTGCACCGCCCGTTTGATTTCCTACTCTTCCCTAAGAGTATTTAGATCTTGCAATGCAATCGCAGTCAAAATTGTCATTCTAACTCAGAACCCTATCAACGTTGGCCTTACAGTTAGATGACAATTTTGTTTTCAAATACCCCTGGAAAATGTTCTATGTTCTTCGTGTAATTAGGTGTTCTTATGCAAGGGATTTTTCCACACAAAAATGGTTAGTTGGCTTAATATTACCCCAATGGTTCATTGGCTGTGAAAGATTGGTATTTTTTCCCCCTGATTTGTAAGGAAAATGCGTTTCACAACTTGTCTCTTTATTTTGTTTCATGCCATATTTAAGATGGTGGCCCCCATATAGTAAACATGCATTTATTTTACTATCACTTGTACACCAGCTGACTGTGAATGCAACGCAACGTACATGTAGTTAGGTCAGCTATTGCCCAAATATGGACACTGATGTATTGTTATCAGATCTTGTTCAACAAATTAATCTTGTCTCATTGCCTCATTGCAAAAACTGTCAATGATTTGTCCAATTTCGTTGTAGTCCACATTGTGTAAAGAACTGCCATTGCCACCCAGTGATCTCTCCCACAAGTGTGATCTAGTGAGTGTAATACCATCAAGTGATGGCGGTTCCAGTGTCAGTGTTATGGCGGTGTCACCAGATGGAATCATTCGATATTGGCCTAGTCTGACCAACGAGGGGGCATTTGTGGAAACAAGTGCTGATCTAAATGGAGAAGAATGTTTCTGTCTTACTGCTGTACAGGTAATGGGAGTCTGCTTACAGTGGTCACAATAATTTGTTAGTCTGTCACCATTATTATTGATTGTCGGTTAATTTACAAAATATGAAGTTCAAGATTGACTCTTTTGTGCAATTACATCTCACTTATTTTATAACAGATACAAATACCCTTGTTTGTCTGAACCCCCAGATAGTAGCAGAGTATATCATGTCCCATCGTTTTAGAATGCATTTCTTGTACATTTGCTCTCTGTTTTCTGCTATCCTTCATATACAATGTATCAGTCTTTTTTTACAGCCCTATGGTTATATCTTGGCTACAACTACCAATCAACTTCTCATACTGTCACCAGCTAGCTCTGGAATGCAGGTATGGATACTTACTTTTGCAATGTACATCATCAATATATTATGACTACCACTTTTTTCAAACCTGTATTTTCTCCATGAGTAGCGCATTTGCTTATGTAATTACAGCCATATGTTTGTAGTAAGACTAAATCATACCTCAATGATCTATACATTATAGATCATGTGTTTTTAATAGAAATAATATGGTATTAGAAAATTATTGGAATATAGCATTGTGAGTATGCATGATCAGTATCATAAGTACCGTGAAACAGGTGAATCCTAAACGTCTGGTTAACAGAGTGAAAGAAATAATGTTTCTGACTGAAAGCAGAATATTAGCATGTCATGTGTTTCCTTAGAGAAAAAGTTTCTTTTTATTTGCAGCAATTTTGTGTTCTTTTATTGTGCGTTTTCTTTTTTTCATTCAACTTGTGGAATCTTTGGTTGAAATATTTCTTTTTTTCAGAATACAGTGAGCTGTCGTCAACTGAGTCCTAATAAAGGAATGTTTTCTAGAATGTCTTCATTCATCTTTGGATCTCAGAGAACTCAGTCTGCACAGTTGGTTAGTACCATATTTATAATGTATCATAAGTGGCATTCACATTACAGATCATCTGCCACGTTTGGTTCAAATAGCAGATCAATGAGAGTGAATCCCGATGTGGATCTTTGTTAATTTGAACTGTTGTCAGTGTTCTCCACAAATAAAATTTGAAGAGGGGTGCTAATTTGCATATAATTAGCTGGTGACAATCACTTCACGCATCTAGCCATTGTTTTTTGTTTATTTATTCAGCCAGTGTTTCCCCAGACACCCAATCCATTGTCCTACTTGTTACCTAATGCCACTATCTGTCTCTTAGTTCTTTGTTTTATCACCTGTCAATTAACAAGAAGTCTCAATAAAGTCATCAGGACATCTTCCCGGACTCATGAAACAGCTGTTCACCGAAAACAAAGGAGGGCCCTGAAGATATATAGAGGGGCGCTACAAATTGAAGAGGGGCGCAAATAAATTAAAGAGGGGCGCTGCGCCCCTTTTAAACCCCTCGTGGAGAACACTGGTTGTAATTCTTTTGCTAACATAAAGGATTACAAATTTAGACACATTTCGAGATCCTGTAACGTGAACACAGTAATACACTAGCATTCTATTCCTGAATATCTTCAAAATGAGTCCTTTGTAACAATGGTAATTCTAATCTAACTCTAATCTTTGTTTGACCTTTACCTCCAAGATTTCAGAGAACTGATTTATTTACTGTTTTATTTAGGCTGCTCATTGCATCCTGGCATCTGTTGATGAAATTGATGAGGACGATGAAGATGATATCAGATATTTCTATGCGTTGATTGGTAACGTGGTGCAGAAATGGCAGCTAAGCCATGGAGGAAATGAAAAGGTGACTTGTGCAAGAAATGTCATGTTTTGTTGTCTGCCATCGCTCAGCAATGTCTGAAATACTTTTTTGTTTTATTATAAATTTTGACAAAATTCAACTGACAAAGATGATAAACAAATTTAAAATAACATTGTTTATGAATTGAACACTTCTGAAATAATTTATTATTCTGTTTATGTTCTACGAGATTATGAAATTTCAGAGCGTATGTAAATTGATGCAGCTTGACAGCAGACTTCCATTCATGTGTATTTATTAATTTTCTTTTGTTTTATTACAGATTGTATTTGAATGTCATGTTGAGAAATATATGAGAGATCATTTCATTCAAGAAATGGTAGGATTCATTTTAAAACATATTTGCTTTACATAATCATTTATTCGTTCGGCTCTGATAGATGGCAGTAGTGACTGAATAAGGCAAAAAATTAAAGGCTTTGTTTCTCGTCCCAGGAAAAATTGAAAAATGATTCAGTTTTAATTTCTTTTTCAATTTTCTTTTCTATTAAGAATATTGAACACAACAACAACAAGATTATTTATTTTATTTATTGTATAATGCTTTTGTTTGCATTCATGATTTGGATTGACAAAACAAATTGTGTACAAACCTACTGTATGTGTTGTTCTCTTCATTGGTAGTGCAAACAAAAATATGTTTGAGGTGCAGGTTTCGAACTAATAACTATGACCGGAGGTACATTACTTGGGGTTTGCAGCGCGCATAGTACTGTATGGTGACATCATGTCAAGATCCCATTCAAGTCTCATCTCGTAGATAGCGAGATCGATGCTACGACCTTCTGACATGAAATAGGCGGTTTGTAATAAAACATGTATTACCACATTCATAGTGAAAAAATGTAATATATCGAAAATGTACAGGAAATATAGTTATCGTAATCCGTCATATCGCGAGCAGCTATTTTGATCTACCTGGACATCCCAGTATCCCAGTTACCTTGGGCATGCGTATTCGCATTTTTCTGAGTTGGAATGCTTATGCGAGAGCGAGATCGAAACAGGATCTTGGTATCATGTCACTGTAGTTGCAAACCCCAAGTAATGTACCTCTGGTATGTCAATGAAAACCAAAACTTATTTTTCCAAAGGCCTAATCTTTGTATATATGGTGTACATGAAATTTTGTACCAGTGGTATTTTCACTGGCATTCTTGAGGCAGGTGAGTCAGTGTCTCAGAATGTTGTATCCACAAATATCTGACAGTTTCAATTTAACACAGTACATATGTATTTAATTTTAGGATGTTAGTGGTGTTGAAGACTCTAACCAAATCAAAGTATGGATGTTAGATATGCAGCTTGTCAGGTATGATATGACTATGAATAATTAAATCGTGAATGGAGTCTGTATGGGTACAACTTGACATATGCTTATTGTTCTGTGGATCAATAAATCATAGCAAATGTAATAATGCATGTAAGGATCATATATATGGTAGAGAGAGAGAGAGGCCAACTCATTAATGAAAATATACTAAATTCATCTACATGTATTTTGAAAATTCAAAGATATTGACTTAAAACATTTTTGAAATCACCAGCCTATTTTGTGACAAAAATAATGGCTATCTTTTAGCAAATAGTCATTTTCATCAGTATTTTCAGTAAAATGCTATTATAATATTGCTTTATAATTGTGTTCTATACTCCATAAACTTACTTGAATTTATCACTGAGATAATCATATTTAGAATTTTAATACTAATTTACAGGGGTGGTATAGCTGTGTTGGGTGCTGCCTACGATACCAGAGCTGTTATGCCGACTATGTGTTATGCAGTTGGTGAGTTGAATTCACTTCACTAGTAGCTTTGTAACCTGACTATTCTCTCTTGATGAGAAACATTTGGATTTAAACTCAACATTAAATTCTCTGTTACATTTATGAATGTCACTGGTGCAGCCTTCACTGTAAAGGTGTAATAGATACATTTTTTTGGCAGGTATTTTTGACATGTCAGCTAATGATGCTCCATGCAATACAACAGCATTTTCATTGCTGCAGTACTCAGTACGATACCAGGTATTTCTTGTTTACTATTATCTATTAGCTCACCATAGATTCTATGTATAGTGTGGTTAGACTTCTTTTATATCATAGAAATATATACTGTAAAAAACATTAGTTTAGCTCTGAATTTACTTTCACTATTTTCGTTGAGGTGAAAATCAAATCCAGCGAATATACCCTTTTCCCAAATTTACATTCAACTCAACAATCAGTGACAAAAAATTCCATTCAAAACACTCAAAAAAATTTTTTTTTTAATTACAGCTAAAATTAAGTATTTTACAGTAATGCAAACAATTCTTAAAACCAGTACAACTCAACAAATGATTAAAGTGTGTCAAATTATAATGTATATATATTCATAATTTCACAAATTCTCTTGATCATCATTTGCACATTTTTGTTTGCACATTTAAACATCAGGCTTTTGACAATTATGTTGTGATGAACTTCTCACTTTACCCTTATTACCCTATGTTTGACTCATCTAGGAATCAAATGAAGACAAGCTACTAAGCCATTGTCTGTTAATATCTGATTATAACAGTAGAACAGCATACATGTATGCGAGTAGTTATGTTATATGTTTAACAGGTAAGTATCAATACTGGGGTGTGAACACTACTCGGTTCTAATTTTTGAATTGCAAATTAATTGATAGAGTTCGTTGTTTGTGTTCCCAAGTCTTGTTGCCATTCACAGAATAAGATAAGATGTTGAATACATTGCATATAATGAATATTCAGTGTATTCTTACAGAACTATTCGTTATTATTCAGATCAATGGCAAATGAATACTAGTCATGACTCTTGCATGCTACAGATAAACTGCAGTATATTTGTAATTTGCATACTAATTATACAAAAGTAAATTCAAAGCAACATACATCGTCACAAAGCATCACATCATTACCGACTGCAAAGTCACTTGTTCTCCATGCTAAAGATGAACTGCAGTATATTTGTAATATACATACTAATTATAAAAAAGTAAATTCAAAGCAACATACATCGTCACAAAGCATCACATCATTACCGACTGCAAAGTCACTTGTTCTCCATGCTAAAGATGAGCTGCAGTATATTTGTAATATACATACTAATTATAAAAAAGTAAATTCAAAGTATACTTTCAATCAATGTGATGTAAATTAACTTACACTTTAGTTGCAGGTAAAGAAGCCTCCTATGATAAAATAGATTTCCGATCTCCCGGTGATTGTCTCTTGGGATCAGGTAAGCTTATACATTATTAGGATAATCAGTCATTCTTACTGTAGTATAGCAACATTTACATAAACATTATCGTTTGAATGACTGACTGAAACGATGGTAAATAATGTAATTGAACAATACTGCTACAATGTGACTGATGTAGGTTTGTTTAGTATTTGTCTAGAACTAAAATTAGACTTTTTCTAGTAGGAGTACATGTTATCTCTTCAGTCGTCAACAAATTTGGTCTGTGTTTTTATTATGATTGCTGGTTGTTTTTACTACAGGTTCCTGTGACAAAATACCCATATTTTTCTCTAATAATCATGGCCTGGTTACTTTAAAAGGACAAGAATCTAAAGTATTGGGGTAAGAATTGATACTCATAGCTTATTTTTAAATGCACAAGTCAATATACACTTTGATTTTGACTCTGTGGATGGTCAACAAAGCAAACTAGCGATCAGAACACAAGGAAGATGTGATGTTAATTCATTTTTTTCTTCTTTTTAATGTACCCTGCAGCCCTGATATATCTGCTGTGTCAGAAACCAGTTTCACTTCTGAGGTATTTATCTTGCACACAAGATTAGTTTGTACCGCTTTGCTGTGTTATGTAATACAATATTTCTAGCGTATGCTTTCAGAAAGAAACAAAATAATTGAACCACGACAAGAAAAAACAAAATTCCCTACATAATTGGAATATCTTTTTTATTGTCCCTAATATCTCCTCCTAATATTTTTTTGACTCTTTAAAAGAGTGCCATTCATCTGCATTAGCAGAACTATTTTTTTAGGAGGGGGCAATAAAATTAAAAAAAATTACATGTTTCCATATTTTCAAGAACGAAACCTGATTAGTGAAAATTCGTATTCATTGAAAAAAAATTGCCACAGGTATATACAAAAAAAAATCGATTAATAGCTAGCAATAATTTCTTTTCCTTGTCAGTCAATCTTTGGAGGTGGTACTCCGGCACGACCTGATAGAGTGGAAGAGATGAGTCAGAGTGAAGATAGCACCTTGAGACTAAAAGCTGCTTTTCTACATGCATGTAAACATAACCTTGTAAGTATTATGTTGGGGGAGGTTGTACCTTAACCGGGGGGGTATTGTGTATATGCTAATGATGTGACAAAGTGAAGACGCGTTTGAACTGAGACACAAGTACGTTTTTGGAGGTCATGGCTTGCCATGTTTTTTGACTACTTCCCATTTACGGTGGCAATGAAAATGATTGAGCAAGTGTATGTGTTATTATTTTTATTGCAAATTACAACTTTTATTTCTCAGCATGTGCTTGTTACAGTGGCATGAATGAACTAATGCATTGTTTACAAAACTTGACAAGGTCTGTGTGTGGTACATCTGTTGCTTGAATTATACCCTATCATTCGACCACTCAAAAAATAATTTCTGTTTTTCTTTTAATAATTCTGCTACTCCCCAAGATATTTTTTTTCATGGTCGAATTAATAGAAAGATTACACATTTGGGCTTGAATTTGTTCTGAAATGTAACTGACATGTCTGTTTAAACATTCATTTTATTACTTGAAGGATCATGCACAGGCCATCGTAAATGATCTCTTCCCGTCCTCTGATGTAACCGTGGAAGGAGCAGGATCCACCATTGACATCACTGTAGCTACATTAAGTCGTGAAATAATTGATGATTTCCCTGCATCTGATCCAAGATGGGCGGAATCAGTACCCCATGGTAAGAATGAGTTTCTCTCAATCATGCGTGACACAAATTTTAGAACCTTCAAGTTTTAAAAAGCAAATCAGGCTTGAAAATTTCACAAACTAAAGATTTGAAAACCTCTTTTAAACCACAGTTTAATTTTTGATCTTTCATGAAGTAAACTTGCAGTTGTTTTGAATAAGACCTGTGATTATTCCATCTAGGTCCAAACTTAACAAAGAAATTAACGGAAAATACACCAATACTTGTGTATTATATTATTTTGTCCAACTTCAATTGTGATAGACCAACCACATAACTACATAAAACTGTTGATTTGTGGTCTACATTCATCTCATTACAGATGCAGCTTCTTCCACAACCTCTTTAATTCTCCTTCACCAGTTAGAAGACAAGCTGAAAGCACATGACTACTTTCTATCATTTTTGAAAAACACAGATCTTTGGGATAAGGTAAGTGAAGTACAGAAATTCAAATTTTTTCACTGCCAATTTCTACTAATATAAACAGTTTTAATTTAAAGAAAAATGATTGTGAATTTCACGAGTCAGAGAAAAATTTTGTATCAGTGAGGTGAGCATTTCATTTTGGATTTTTATCACCTTTGAACACCATTGTAAAATTTTTAGCTCACTAATGCCAAATTATAAGATTGTATATATTGGTAGCAGGGAATCGTTTTACAGAGTTCAAACTTGCATTAGCCAAAATCTATAAATGTTGACAGAATCTTGTAAATTCATCGTGTTGGTTTCCCCATAATGCATGAATATGATCTCTTTTGTAGCTGACTGTTGTTTTGAATAGAGACCATCAGTTGAGTACACATCAGCTGTTATGTGAACATGCTGAGAAACTCACAGCGGCGATATCATTAAGGGGACACCATACCTCGTAAGTACATCCATGAAACATTTGACTGGTACAACTCAATTAACCCAGTGTCTTCTGCATGAAAGAGAGAATGTTTTTTTAGTGGAATGTCATGCAAACATCGGCACTAACAAAATAACTGATAATAAAATTATATATCTCTCAGCATCTAAGAAAACTACTCTATCAAAGTCACCAGAATACAGCTAGAGTGTCACATGAACAGGTTTTCAATTGCCTCCATACACAGACACTGAGTTTGACAATGTTGACCATAGAGCATTATATTTGCTGAGCATCAAGCCTGTTCCATAGATCTAAATTTCTATCAACTGCACTCTGCTGCACATTTCCCTATTATCAGATGTGATCAAAGTCACAACACTGACTGTATTCCAGCTGAGAACACATCAGCAAGCCTTTAATCCCATTGCCATTGATTTCTTGTGACATTCACTTGAAAGTGTGAATCTTTTTTGCCATGAAAATTTGAAATCTTTGTCAACTTGAACCGTATCAGAACAATAATTGCTCGGATAAGTTTAACAACACAATGTTCGCAAGTTCTGCATCATAAAGATATGATAAGAAAAAAAAATACATTGATGTTTTGATTCACCAGTATACATACATATGGTGTTATTTGATTGTGAAGCACTGAATATCAGTTTTGTTGACTGTTGCTTTGTCTTGTCAGGTTTCCCAATGTTGTGGATGCTGCAATACGTAAAGTACTACAGCATAGAGGAGATACGCATGTACCATCTGGACTTTCCCCTCAAGATCTTTTCTATAGAGAGGTCAGTACTGGTCTGCATGTCAAGCACATTCAATCAATAGATTTAATTATTAAGTCATTGGTAGAATCACAATAAGAGACAGTATTTTCGACCATGGTGTCTAGCTGTCTGGGGTGGCATATCATGAAACAAATAATTCATTTCGGCCAATTTGTATTGTATGTCCTTTATATTAAAACCGTGTGTGTACACCAGAGCCTGTAGAAATGACAGTTTTATCTCTTTTATGATAAAAATATTACAAATGTTAAAAAACAAAAAATATTTTTTAAGAAATGTCAAATTTAGTTTCACAGGTTCACTCACAAATATTGTATTTATTTTCTTGTAATTGTCAGTTATCAAGGATTCATGAAATTGTGGAGGCATTGTTAGAGTATGAACAAGATATGCTGAATACTCACTTGGCATTACACGATCAGCTGACCCTCATTTCCAACATTAACACCATAGTAGAGGTAAGTTGTACTTTAGTTTACCAGTCATTGGTATATGTACACCAATGATTGTGTGCTCATCTAATAAGCATATCTTGTGATAAAGAAAAAATGGTGTTTACAGATTTTAAATAGTCACATTTCATTTCTGTTTGATGGCGTATTTGTTTTATGTGATGAATGTGGAACAGGTTGTTATTGTTATTATATTAGTGACTATAATGTCTACAGAGGTTTTCTCACAGCTGTTAAGCCTTAAGTTATTGACATTTTCTGAAAATAATAAGATCTTAATTGTCTACTTAGTGACAAATGCACACTTGTAGTTATAACCATCTTTGTTTTCTGTATTCAGGGAATGTTACATGAAGCATGGCAGTTCAGACAATCTAAAGCACTGGTATATCAATCCACCAATTCATCAATTGCACAGCTTGAATTCATCCCTTGGACAGGTTAGCATGAATTTCATTTGCAACTCAGCCATGGGATTTATAGATTTTAGTAAAAGGGAAATTCATGTATACCGTACTTATCTGGGTAAGAGCCCATGCCGGGGCAAATGCCCACCCCCACTTTTGACACAATAAAGTTGAGGTCATAAAAATATTCTACACAAAAAATAACAAAAAAACTATTTTCTACTTGATGACTGTGGTTGTATTAACAATTGACTTTCTTGATGTCTGTTATGATGCTTATAAAATTGTTTAAATATAATTGTTAATTGTGTAAAACAAGGGGTGAACGCGAAATAGCTGTGACAGCAAAATAGGTATTTTGCTTTCTGCCTTCAGGACAGCGCGTTCACTGCTAATTAGTCCCCGTTCGGACGCAGTCCGAAAACGGGGACTTATGTTTTGCCCTGTGTGCGTCCGTCCGTCCGTGCGTCCGTGCGTCCGTGATCACCTGTATCTCGAACATGCATGGACCGATTAAGTTCAAACTTCACTCATACATCACACATTATATGGGACATATGCACATGCATTTTTTTCATGATCCGATTAACGATAGCCGAATAGCGGCCATTTTAAGGCCGAAAATGCATCAAAATCGCACATTTTCACCATTCCGGACCCGGATCTCAGTTATGCATGGACGGATTTTGTTCAAATTTGGTACATACATTAAACATAATAGGACCTTGATGCACGTCATTTTTTTTTTTGGATCGGGTTCGAAATGGCCGACTGGCGGCCATTTTGTTTTAAAGAATTCAGTTCTGGATCCGTATCTGAGACATGCT